TAGATGACTGATTTCTAAGGTCCCTTCTAATTTATGCTCTATAATTTTGGGCTAAATGCAAGCCAAGTCAGACTGTAATTCACAGGAAATTGAAAAGTTGAAGACAGCTTGGTGGCCAGTCTCTCCCTGGATGTAGTCTGCCTTCTTGTTTCTTTAGTTATCGTTTTGTTTTAGAGAGCCCCAGATTGCCTGCGTTGCTCCCCAAGGCTTGGAGGCCTAGAGGATCTGTTCGCATGCCCCCTGCTCCCCACTGCTGGGGCAGAGTGAAGGCAAGCCCCCCCCCCCAAGTCTCAGCTCTCTTTGTGAGTACCGTCAGGCAGGGTCACTTACATTCCACCACGTTTATAAAGCACCGCTCCGTGCCAGAGTGCTAGGGGCTGGTGACCCCGAGATGAATCAGTCTTTACCTCGAGCAGCTCCCTGTCTAGTTGGAGAGCTCGGTACCCCTCTTAACTTCTTGCCCTTGCCATCAGGAAGTAAGAAACAGTCAGTTTTCTGTCTCTTGATGTATCTTCTTGGGGAGGAGAAGATCACATTGTTTTCTCATTTCTTTATTCCTGGTAATACCTCTGGTTGTTTTTGTTTTAAATACATCTCATGTTGAGTCACCTTATAGGGTGGAAGCCCAAGTCCCAAATTAAAGCAATTTGACCTGAGAGCCATGATAAATTCTTCCTGCAACAAGGCAGGATATAAAATATTTTGTGTAAGAAATAGATAGGGGAAAGATGTTTTTAGCTGATTATTATTGGGGGAAGAACATCAAAGTGCAGTGAGAATCTAGGAGCCTCTAATGGTCAGCCTGCTCCTAGATTGGAATGTCTTCTGCTGATGGGACCCCGAGAGAGTATGTGAATAGATGCAGAGGTGTGATGTGTTATTTGTAAAGAAAAAAGAAAAGTAGCCTGTCACATGGGGCGTTGTCTTATTGCTGTTGCTGTTAGTGTTCATCTTTGCACTGTGGGGAGTGACAGACAACTCGGCCACCACAGTCCCCTAGGGGCGCAGAGAAGCTAGGGGCCCTGCAGCCCCACTTGGGCCCAGAGCTCTCTTCTCTGGGTTGTTTCCAGTTTTTCTTTCCTGAGTAGAGTTAGGAGCCGAACAACTCCCAGACAGGCCCAGAGCAGCATCAGGAGCCATTCTGATGGCTTCCCTTCATTCCTTCACTTAGAAAGCCACTGAGCATGCACGCTCTGCTCCGTGACCTACCTTCTCTCCCACTCCATCCACTGGGCAAGGAACAACCAACCTGGGCTGAATTATGACTTGGAAGCAAATGAAAATCAACTTTTTATAGCAGGAGATGCATAGACATTGAGAGGGACAGATGGTTCCCATGTGGGCGGGGCTGAGGTGGGAGCTGCAGACCGGGCGGGGATAGAGGGGCACAAAGATTCTCAATCATAATACAAGCTGGTCGTGGGGGTGGAAGTACAGCATGGAGAATATAGCCAATGGTTCTGTAACATCTTCCTATGTTGACAGATAATAACTCCACTAGTGGGGGTGCGGATTGAATAATATGGGTAACTGGGGAACTGCTGTGCTATATACTTGAAACGAATGTAAAATTGTATATCAAAGATATTTCGATTAAAAAAAAGAAAATCAACTTTTTTTCTTCATGTAAATAAGCAAATAAACAAAACTGTGTCAAAGTGTCTTTTTGAGATGAACATCAAACCTCAGCCAAGCCTAACTAGTAGGTTTTCCCAGACGTTTTCCTGGTCTGGGTATTTCTCAGCGCAGCTTGTCAGTGAGGGAAAAGGGCGTTATAAAGGGATGAATCTCTCAAGGTACAATGGCCTCTGAGAGGGGACTGAGTTTTGGTTGGGGAGGAGGTATCTGTTCCAACTTCAGCTCTGCTGATGAGAAAGCTTTTCCTTTCTCCTCTGCTGTTTAAACTGAGAAGAATAGGGAAACAGTTAATGGAGAAAATGGGGTTTTTAGGCAAGCTAGTGAATGGAGAGCTAGGGGTCAGACCCAGATAATCTGAGGCTCCCACCCCTGCTTCTCTCATACAATCTAGTTAACAGGACTCTACTCCCCTTTTTAAATGGAAATTAGCAGGGAAGTGAGCTACATAACACAAGACAGTTTTCAGAGGCCATAGATTCCCCCAACTCAAGGCCAGCTTTCCAGAGCATTCTCTGACACCTCACCCCACTGCATGTTGGGTTAGGGTCCTTTGTATATTTTTCCAGAATGTCCTGCGTTTTAGTTTAATCCAAAGGACTTACCACCTTTTCTGTGTCTGCTCTCCTTGAGAAAGTGGTCCTGTCTTTCACTTCCCTTCCTGGACTCACAGGAAAAATATTTGAAAATTAAGGTTGAACAGGGTGTAACTGTTTTACAGATAGTGATCTGGAGCCCAGGGAGATCTAGTCACTTGCAGAAAATGACACAGCTAATTGGGACAGAGCCAGAACCCTCATCTGCTGGCTTCTCGTTCTTAGCTTTGCTGTGCCTCCAGCATCTTCCTGGGAAATCTGGAAGCTGCTTACATCTTTCATTCATTGGCCCAAATTTATGCAGCACCTACTATGAATCAGGCTGCGTGCAGCAGTTCCTGGATAGGGAGATGAAAGGTAGACAGTCCTGCCTTGCTCTCTTCTCTGAGCTGTGCACACTTGGAGTCCCAAGTTTCTACACCTTATATCCGAGCTCCCTGGGGCCTTCCGTGAACGGAAGCTGGCGGGCTCTACAGCTCCAGGCTCCTGCTGGACCCGGGAGGCCACTGGGCTCAGCGCCTCCCACCGCCTCTGGATCCCGTCGCTGCCACTGAACCAGTCACACCAGAAAGTCATCATGGTGATTTCAGAACGGCATTGTGATTTATGCAAAGCGTGCAGATAATTACAGCCGGGCGCAGAACACGGATGAACATGCTGTGGGGGTGGTGGGGGTGGGGGAGGGGTACCCCGAGGGGTACCCCGGCGTGCTGCGCCTTTTGCCACGGCTGGATCGCGCGCGTGTCTGCGTGTGCTTCTGTTCAGTGGACTTGTTGACGCGGCTTGATTAGGGTCTGGGGACGGGAAAGAGGGACCCTCCCACTATGACCCAGAGACAACTCGGTGGGCCTCAGAGCTATTTTCCACGAGTTTCGGTACCTACAAATGGTCCGGCAGGGCAGGGGTGGGCGTAGGAGAAGCGGTAGTTTAGCCATAGACCTCCTACCTCCAAGCCGCCGCATCCGCACAGCGGCTTCCGGGCCGCCTCCCAGCAAGGCTCCTAACCCTTCCCCTGCAGGCAGGCCGGGTCCAGCCTCCGACGTCAGCCCTCATCTCCGCACGGGATGGACTGCCCGGACGCTTGAAGTTCTTTGCCTTTGGCCAAAGGACTGGGCCCACGTGGTCGTGGTGGTGCTGGAGGCGGCGAGTGGATTTCTGGCGGGAGCCAGAACCCTAGGCTCCAAAATAGAGCCTGGCAGGGTAGGTGTGTTTCTCAACGCCCACCTTTCTGGGCGCCGAGTTCGAGTTTGCACCGCGTCGCCGGCTGGGCTCGCTGCGCATGCGTCTGCCCAACTTGCCTGTCAAAAATGTTGATTTCTTGTCCTGTCTCCTAAAAAACACAGGTTTAGGGCTTTGTTCCACAATTCCCTAATTTCGTCCCAATTCGAAAAACGGAGGGTGTGTGTGTGTGTGACTTGGGAGGTGGTCTTGCTCTTTCCGGGTGTCCCTAGCCCCGATCTCTGGTCTCCACGCGTTACTAGCGAGCACCGGGCTCCGAAGGGCGCGCTGTGCCCAGGCCGGGCCCTCGGGCCCTTCAGAGGCTGCAACGGAGCTGCCGTCACGTGCTGCGGCCGGCGACCTGAGCGCTCGGCCTGCGCCCGGAGACGCCCGGCCGGGGAGCTGCCGCGCCCTCCGAGGGCCCGGGGGACGCCAGCACTCCCTTGCACGCACACCCCGGTCGAAAGCCCGGGCTGACACCGATTCTGAATAAAGTGCGGGGGTGGGGCGGGCAGAGCTGCAGAGAGCTGGTGTCGGCCTTCCCACCTCCCCCCGCTGCGCTGCGGTGGGCGGGAGGTGTGACCCCTGACCTCTGGCCGGGCCCACGCCCGGAGGAGAGGCGGCTGGCTCTTGTTCGACAAGTTCAAGCTGCTGGGGGCTTAAATAAGAATTAATCTCTTAGGGATCGGAGATCACTGCTCCCTCGGCGCGCGCTCTCCCAGGACGGCGCGGGGACGAGGGCGCGGAAGAGCGCTGGACTCGCGGGACGGAGGGCCGGCGTGGTGGGGGCCAAGGCGGGGGAAGCTCTCCAGAACCCCTCGACCCGGGAGGGAACCCGCGAAGCCCGCTGGGGACGAGCTGCCCGCGGGAGAGCTTCTGCCCTCCAGGGCTCCCGTGCAGATAATGCGGGCGACCCGAGCTTCGCCCTGCGCCCCATGGCTTTGCGTCGGGAAGCGGGCGGCGCCCTCCCGCCGCTGGTGCCCTAAAGGAACGCAGGAACGCGGAGTCTCCGCCGGACCCCATCCCAGGCCCCAAAGTCCGCACACCAGTCCTCAGCTATACCTGTACGTAGATAGTTGCAAAAGGAATAATTACTCACCTCGGGCCAGATCCAAGTTTTGCCCAACAGAAGGGGCAACGGCACCAAGAACGAACCAACTCACACGGCCATTTCCGGCGCGCACAAGCACACACAAACACACAGCCACCTAGTTTCTTCCGTGAATCTGGCGCTCTGGAGGGAAGGGCGGAAGCGTTTTGAGAAAGCTGCATCTCCCCTTCCCTCCCCCCTTGCGATGAAATATAATAATTCATTTTTATTACAAAAGCAACACGGTCCTCACCGACACGCACGCACCGAGCCACGCTCCCACGTTCACTCTAACTCAGCTCTGAGAGCGCCTGCATTTTCTTTGGGAGCCGCTTGGAGGTTCATTAATATCATTAGCATTTAACCCCCTCCCTCTTCTCATCCCCTCCCCGCACATGGCTGACGTCAGACCCCGCCAGGAGTTGGGGGAAAAGCTAAGTGGGCCAGGGACGCCCTATTCCCCTCCCCGCGGCTGCCTGTCAGAGCGCTTCTGGAGATATTACAGGGGACCCAGCCCGCAGCGACAGGCACAAAGTCACGGGGTAATGAACTTCGGGGAACCCTTGCCGCTGCGTGCGCGGCTCTCCCCGGAACCCCGGACCTGACCACCTGGTCCCTCGGAAGACTTCCCAGCAATCTAGTTTTCCCACTCTGCGCTTGGGTTTGGCAGCGCGGAGCCCGTCTGCCTGGGACTGCGGTCGTGTTTTCCTTCTTTCCTTAAAAAACGCGGCGGTCTGTAGAGATCTGTCCACATCCTGCATGCCTAGAGGGAGAGATTGAAGACTGAGAGACAGGCATGGGGGAATTGAGGGGTTTTGCCCTTTTTGCTCCATAAGGACACCATTTTCGTGTCTCCATCTCTGTCCTACAACATTCCTCTTTTGCCCTCCTCCTTTCTTCGATCTGCCTGTCCGTCTCTCCGTTTGTCTGTCCATGCGTGTGTCCATATCAAGCAACATTCCCAGCAGCTGCGGTTTTGCAAGAGCCGGGAAGAAACTTAAGGATGCATAAATTTCCATCGTGGAACGAATTCTGAGCGACCCGGGAGCAGCGCAGCCCACAACCGACACCCACCTGTCCGGCCCGGGAGCCTCGCAGGCTGGAGGGCGGCTGGAGAACGGCGGCGTCCGGCGGCGAGGCGGGCGCTGTCGGCCGGGACTCGGGCAGCGCCCACCAACCGCTTCGCCCTGGGACCGCCAGCATGAGCAAGCCCGCCGGATCAACAAGTGGGTACCTTCGGGCCGCCGCGGGGCTCAGGCGCGCAGCCTGGGGCGGGCGCGCGGGAGGCCGGGGAGGTCCTGCCCCGGGCGCTGCGGCTCCGCGCCGGGAGAGGGACTCAGGCAGCGTGTGCGCCTTGGCCCAGCTCCTCCTGGAGCCGGAGCGTTTCTTGGGGAGGCAGGAACAATTTCGTTACCTCCGGATTGCTGCTTCCGCCTCCCTCTGGTCTGGAGGGAAGGTGGAGACCTACGCAGCCCACCAGTCCGGCGATTTGCCTCCGCTTAGCCGCCAGGTGTGGGGAGGGGTAGGCGACGGGGGTGGGAACTAGGCCGCGGCTCCCGGCGGCGGCACAATAACACGATCGCTCTGAACTCCAGGCTCCAGCGCGCAAAAGCAACTCTGCACAAAGCGGATTTCGAATGGAATGCTTTGCACCCTGTTTCTAGCTATTTCAAATAATCCTGTCAACTGGGAAGCAGAAACAATTGAAAAGTCACATTTTCCTTAATCCTAAATCCGCGGAGGTCCTAACTGGGGAATGTAAAGTATGGCGAACTGCTCTCGCAAGGGAGGCCCGAGTCCCTAATCCCGAGGGTTTAAAGCGGGAGCTCGGCGGAGGCAGGAATGTCCGGCCCGTTCCCTTCGCGCGCTTCTCTGCTGCCCCAGACTCGCTTAGCTGGTGGCTCTCCCTCGGGACGCCAAGCCTCGGCCAGTCCGTAAGCGCCCGGACACCCGGGGGTGCGGGGCTAAGTGCGCGAGGGCGTCCGCGTGCGCGGTCCCTGCGGAACCCGGGCTGTGCAGGCCCCGGCCGGCGCTGGGGGCGGCGGCCGCCACGCGCCCGTCTCCCTGGGGCACTGCAGTTCCCGCCCTCGGGGGGCCGGCGCGGCTCTCAGGGTCCAGGGCTGGGCGGCAGGGGCCGTGGGCCCCACATGCCGGAGCTCTCCTGCTGCCTTGTTTTCGCCTATAGCGGTTCGGGCGCTGTGGGCTTCCCTCGGGCCCCCTCCCCTCGCTCGCCCCCATTGTCCTGAGTCTTTGAAAGTTGGGAGAGTGCGAGATACTTCTGAGGACTGATAAGGAAGCCCCGCTCAAGGCGGATGCAGGCCTCCCAGAATGGACTGTGTTTTCACTTTGTCCGGGTTTGGGGGGCGGGGTGCTGCCTTTTTAAAAAAGTGAACGTGAACAGAAAAGGAAGAGAAATGTTTAGAACCAGGGCACGGGGAGGAGAGAAGGTACCCTAGCCGCGGCCGCATCCTCGCGGGGGCTGGCGCTCCAGTTAGCCTCGGGCCTGCCCGGCCTCGCTGCCCGAGTCCCGGGGACGCAGGCCAGCTCGCCTGTCGTGGGCCGTGTCCTGACGTGCGAAGGGCCTTCCAGGAGGCGCGGAAGGAAACCTGTCCACATGCATTCGGGCCCCTGCGGAGACCCGAAGCCCGAGGGCCTCGGCCGGCCTCCCAGCGCTCTCGCCCGGGGACGGGCCTAGCCTCCCCTCTAGAAGTCAGGAGGCTCGGGCTGTTGCCCCGCTCGGGATGCGGAGTCGCCGGTGTTGGAGCGGGGGCGGGGGGTGAGTGCTGCGAAGAGGCCTCCGCGGCGAGGGAAGGGGCGGGCGAGGAGCTGGGGCCGCTGGGGGCCGCGCGCGCGCGCGCGGTGGACCAGGACGCAGGCGAACCCTCTGGCCTTAGAGGAAAAAGGCTTAGTGACGCACTGGGAAAACTTCGGAGTTTTCCAACTTCCCTAGAGCCTGAGTTCGGCCTCGGAAGCCTCGCGCCCCGGTGCAGGTCCGGAAGCCGGCGCTGAGCTTTCTCTGGCAGGCAGGACAGTAGCCCCCGCCTGTGGCGCCGCTGCACCCAGGCCTCCTCCAGACCCAAACCCGCGGGCCCCGGGCCGTCTGGCGAGCAGGTGGGCGCGCGGCGGGCGGGGTCGGGACCTGGCCGGGCCGCGAGATCTGCAGCCCCCCGCCTCGCTCGGTTTGCACAGCGGGAGAGTAGAGCGGTGTCACTCGGGAGCCCCGCCTGGGTGGTAACAAGACCCCGGCCAGTCACCCCTGCAGCCCAGACTAACTTCTTTCAACAGCCTCTGATGGTAATTACAGTAATCGAAGCTGCCATATATCTTTAGGCAATTATGACACACAAAAAGCCCCGAGGGGACCCCCTGGCGAGGGAAGTTAAGAACCGTTTTCCAGCCCCAGGAAACTCCCGCTTGCCTCCCGTCGGAGCTCGCTCGGCTTCCTAAATGAGAGCTTTGCAGCGGGGTCGACCAGCTTGTCTCGTGACCCCAAGTCACCTTAACGTGTCTGGGTGGTGCAGTGTGAGGCGCAGGCCCGCCCTGCCGCGGGGTCCTCGCGTCCCTGCCTCCCGGGCCCCGCCCCGGGCGGGGATGCTCGGCTCTCAGCTGCCCCGGGAGCCGCGGTCGGCTGGGGGTTGCGCCGAGGCAGGGCCGACCCGCAGCCGGGGCAGCTGGGGGAGGCGACGATCGGAGGAACCCCGCCCGCGGGGGCCCCGCGCTCTGGTCTTCCCTCCACCCCTCGGGGGCTCCCCAGAGATGTGAGTTCCTCGCTTCTGTCTGGATGGGAAGCGGGAAAAGAACCCCGCGGCTGCTCTTCCCGCGCGCTCATCTTGGCATCATCAAAGAGCCACCGGGAAGAGAACAGCTGGGGCGACAGGCTTGCGGGACCCCGAACGCGGGCCCCAGCCCAGCCGAAGGGCGCGTGATACTCAGAGGTGAAGAGCTGTTCCAGGGAGTGCCCCGAGGCAGAGCCCGCGTGCCCGGCTGCGGGCAGCCCTGCGTGCCCGGGGGCACAGGGACAGGCCCCGGGGCCTCAGCCGGCTCTCTGCAGCCCCTTCCCCCCGACAGCACACCTCTCCTCCCACTCTCGGGCAGAGGGGGCGCCCAGGCGCTGGCCGCGGCGCCGCGCGCCTCCCCGCCGGCCTTTGTCGCCGTCCGAATTCCCATGCTACTCTTTTTGACGGGTCACTGGTGGCTCTATAGGCAGGTGCTGCGGCGAGGCTGTAATTGCCCGGCCTGGTCGCTGCCGACCTCCCACCCCACCCTGGCCGCGCGCGTCCTCCTGCCCCCTCCCGGAGGCCGCCTTCCGGGGCCGGCGCCGCCGGGACGCCAGAGCAGCCTCGAGCGCGCCTGCCCCTCCGCGGCCTCGGAGCCCCGCATGCCCACGCGCTGCCCCCTCGCCTCCGCTCGCCCAGCCTAATCGCGGGCCTCAGCCGAGCGCTCGGGGGAGCCGCTGCCGACTTCCACCAGCCAAAGGTGGTCCAGGCCCAGACTGGAGGCCTTCGGACGGGTAGCGACTTGAAAATTAAATATAAAGAACTTAATGATTCTTAGTCAGAATCGTTGACTATCATTATTACTATCAAAGTGTTAATTACGTGAACACGTTATTTAATACTCCCTGTGTTTGCAGGAGGGAGGATTTCTAAGTACTGGAAACTGCTTCAGGCTTGCTGGACTCCTGAACCTTGGAGAAAAATAATTGCCTCCCTTGTAGATTTCGGATATTACCCCCTAACATTCCTCCCGGGTCCGCGGCCACCCCAGGCTTGAGGGGTTTCCGAGGACAGTTCTCTTAACCAGGCTACGGCCGAGGCCAAAGAGGTTGGGGGGCAGTCTGGAGAAATTAGCCAGCTGCTGCCCACAGGCAGCCCCTGGCAGCGGCAGAAAAACAGAACGAAGGGACCCAGACGGGCTGGAGGGGGCGGAGGCGGGTCTTCCCGGAAGAACTCGGGGTGGAGGCCGAAGGACTGGCTGTCCACGCGAACTTGCCAGGGGATCGAGGCCCTTGCATCATTCTCCTCGCAGTTGCCTAGCCTGGTGCTGGCTACTTTGGCTACATTTTTTTCTAAAAGAAGTTAGTTCCCAAAAGCGATCCACCACGCACTCTTCTAAGCAGGTAAGGAAAGTTGGGCGGTTACCACTACCCTTATTGCCATTAATACTCCTAAGATTAGCATTACAATAATAACCCTAAGAATAACAACCGCCCGGCGGTCGGAGAACTCGATTGCCTTCCAGCTGCCATCCCTGGTTCCAGCCGTGTTTGTTTTTCTTCTTTTCCCTTTTACATTTCAAGTTTGTCTCCTCGAGCGCTCGCGAACAACTTTCTCTGTTAAATGCAGGAGCTGGGGGGAGGGAGGCGGCCAAACTGCGCGGAGCAGAAAGGCAGCGGCGGGCCGCGCTGCGGCCCCGGCCGGCTGTAATCTCGGCCATTAGAGGAGCCCAAATACATGTAGCGGTGCATGAATAATGCTCATTGTAGGAAACTGACACTTGCTCAAGGAAAAAAAGTTTGGCTATAAAATCACTTCATTATTTGCTTTTACCGCAGCTTGGGCGCTAATCCCTTCAGAGGTCAGATTGCTTAGCATCTCTCTCTCCCCCTGCCCTTGCCCCCTCTTCCCCGCCCGCCTCCCCTCTGGCCCCCTCCCCCTCTCGTCTCTCCTGCGACTCCAGGCCGTATTTTAGATATCCCCTGTAAAGTGTGTGGCGACCGCAGCTCCGGGAAACACTACGGGGTCTACGCCTGCGACGGCTGCTCTGGGTTTTTCAAACGGAGCATCCGAAGGAATAGGACGTATGTCTGCAAATCCGGAAACCAGGTACCTTGGCCAGGGCTGCACCGCCCAGCCCCCGTCTGCCGCCTCCCCCTCCTTTGTTTGTGCCAAGGCCTCCTCTGGGTTTGCACGCTGCAGAGGGGAGCCCGTGCCCTGACCTCTCCTTTCCTCTCCCCTCCTTCCAGCCTCAACTCTCAAAGGCCCTTTGGCTGGGGAAGAGGAAAGGGCAAGAGAGATCTGTTTGCAGGGGGAATTCTGAGGTTCTGGCACCTTCCTGTACTGCCTCCCCTTTTCCAGCCTCTGTCAGGTTTTCACACTGGGTAAGGCCCACACCCAGTGGCTCTAAAGCCGGCCCATGGGACCTAAGGAACTTTAGAATCTAGACCCCTAGTGCAAGCAGAAGAAAGGGCTGTCACCCTGCAGGCCACTGCACCCTCTTCCTAGCAGCACCCAAGCTCAGGGCCCTGACCGCTGCCTGAGGTGCTAGCTGTAGAAGGCCCAGGGCATCTGACTCAAAACTGACCCAAAGTGAGTGTTGGCCACGTGGAGCGGAGAGGTCTGCTCTCTGGGAGTCTGTGGGGGGGGTGGGCTCTGTGAGAGGTATGCCCTCAACTGGAGAGAAGCAGGGCTGCTCTGGAGGTGGGCGTGGGGGGGGGGCTTCAGCATCCATGTGACTCCAGCTGGGCCTTGTCAGAAAAGGGCAGAGTGAGCAAGAAAGAAGGTCCCCAAGGAGGGAGTAACTGGGACCCCCCCCAACGTCCACTTCCTCCACCAAGAAGAGGCTCCCACTTTGCTCTTGAGCAGGCAGAACTCTGAGACAGGGGAGTGCGGGCCGGGCTGAGCTGGAGCCGGAGCTTCCAGAAAGAGCAGGCTGCGTGCCCTGACTCAGTTTCCAGCTCAGTGACAGGCTGATTTACAGGTCAGCCTCTGTTTCCACACTGCCTGCTCCTTAGCCAGGCGCCCAGGGCCTCAGCACAGAGCCGCCACCTGCCTCTCAAGAAGGCCCTGGAGAGGGTATCAGTCAGAAGACACCGTTTGGTGACCAAAGTGGTGAAGCACTTTCACTTATATATATATATAAATATATATATATATATGTGATGCACATGTATATATACACATGTATTATCTGCTGCTAGCAAATTATTCTTATTTTAGTGCTTTCTGCCCATATCAATTTCTGATAGAGTTGGATTATCAAAAAAAAAGCTATTTGCATTTTGAAGTCATGTTCAACTCTCCAGCCTGTTAATTGTTTAATCGGGTACACAGCTCTGTGTCTGTTTCTAACTTCACCATACGGACACATCACATCACTCACACACACACACACACACGCAGGACTGTATCCCAGTAGCTCCACAGGAATGTAGGATTATTGTGGGTCATCAGATTTAAACAGGCTTCTACCTAAATTATTTACACTTTTATGCAATGCACAGAATTGGGAATCAAAATCTCAGATGTTATGCTTGATAGTTTCAAAGGGGCTGGCTCCGAATTCAGACATACTGTTGTCAGCCCAAGTACTTGTAAAGGGAGTGATGATAGACTGTCACGCTTGGTGGTCCTCTCCCTACAGAGAGAATGAATGGACCGAGCTCAGGCCCTCATCTTTCTCCCAGGCTCCAGATATTTATATACATATGATCTGGTTTGAATATCTTAAGTACTGAAGGTTTCCATTTTGTATTAGCATGTGTATCAGAATACTAGCAGGATAACAATGGAGGGTGGACATGTGATTGCATTTAATAATAAGTTATTTAACCCTCCCAACACTGAACTATTACACTGGCCAGCAAAGATGCACTGAAGAATTCACTTATGAGCCAAAAAATATTTCTTTACTCTTTTTGATTCTAAGATTAAGCAAATAATATTCCAATTTATTATTAACAGTAATAATGACATTTAGAAATTGTTATGAATCTCTCCCCTACTTTTATTTAAAACAAATCAACATATCTTAATTTGGAGGAGTCTGATCTCATGAAACTGTGCATGTGTGTAACTTTTTCCTAAAGACTACTTCAGAAAATGCACTTATTCTATATTTAGAGTATATGAATTTTTGAGATTAGAAAGCAAAATAAAAATATATTTATTCTGTTCTTTTTCTTCCCACTGCAAACATAACAGTAGCAACTTCTAGAAACACAGGAGAGTCCAAAACTTCTTACATGTATTTCCAGTGTCTAAGACACATGTAGATAGGACCCCTTATGTATGTATGCGCTTGCTCAATAACAACACCTAAACTGAATGAATTCCACAAGAAGATTTCTCTGTAAGTTTTCCCTTTTAATAGCCAATATTTTTCCAGAAAATTGCATTAGGTAGAACATTTATTTTCTCATGCATCTCAAATAAATATTTCTAAGGCAGCAATCATGTCTTTTTTTGTTATCAGGCTAGTATTCTCAGTCCATATTACTATTTTGTCAGTTCATCATCACATTACCTGCCCGGTCACATTTACACAGCGGGCATCCTAGGTCCTGCCCAGGCCTAGGGCTCTTCCCTCCCCACCCTCACCTGGGAAGGCCTTGCCCTCCTACGCCCTCTGTGTCCGCCTCATCTTCCAGGAACTGCTGTGTCTCCACGAATCTGGGCAGGGTCTTCAAGGCAACTCCGCACGTGCTGGTTGTAAGGATGGCTTCCTGCACAAAGGCGAGGGCCAGGGGACAGGAGAGTGGAGACTAAGTGGGAGATAGTCATCTGACAGACAAATGGGGTCCCCGCAAAGTGACAGAAAGAGGTCGACTCAAGGCCTGAAAGAGGGAAGCGGCGGAGAGGGGCGGCGGGGATCCCGGCTGGTCCTCCGGCTCCCAGTGCAGCTCGGCCGCCTCCCGCCCCGGGCCCGGTCGCTGTCTTCGGTCCTGAAAAGTCGCTCCTGCTCCACCACCACGCCCGGGGACAGGGCCCCTCGTGAGCTTCTCCAACACCGCCGAGTCTGGCAAACTTGGCGCTCTGACCCTTCACCTGCATGGAAAAGGGCTCTTCCCTCCTGACCGCTTGCCCAGGGTTGGGGCTGGGCCTCCTGACAGCCTGGGAATCCCAGTCCTTTCTCTACCTGGCCCAGCTCGTGCCCAAGGCCCTCGAGTTTCACGCACCCACACCCGCCGCTCCACGATGGGTGGCGGGGTCGGTTCCCACCTCCACGCCTGTCCCTGCCGCGCCGGCCTCGCGTCCACAGGCTACAGGCCCTGGGGGCCGCTGACCGCCTGCACTCTGTTTCAGGGAGGCTGCCCGGTGGACAAGACGCACAGAAACCAGTGCAGGGCGTGTCGGCTGAAGAAGTGTTTGGAAGTCAACATGAACAAAGATGGTAATCAGCACATGTTTTTATTCTTCTAATGTTGGTTGAGTAGTAAGTAAATTATATGTACAGAAAATACACCGCACTCCTATGCATGTAAATCGTCTCCGAGTACATAAATCCCTTGCAGATGCTGGGAACTGGCCTAGGGCTTCCAGTCCATCCTCCCCGTCTCTCCGCGCGAGCCCACCCCACGGACCCCTTAGGGCCAGGCCGTGCCCACAGCCGCCCCGCGAAGGCAGCGTTCCCGGGGACCCTCTCCGCGGGGGACGCACAGGCGGTGTGTCCTGCTTGCAGCGCGGATTTCTCTCCTCGCCCCTCCCTGCAGCCTTTTCGTGCCCCTTCTGAGCCTGTTAGCCCCGCGGGGTCGCGCAGGCGGATAGGTGCCCGGGGCCGGGGTGGCGCGGACTAGGACACACTGAGTTGGGAGGGAGGGCAGAGACCTGGAATTTCGAACCCTTGTTTGCAAATGCACCACGATTCCAAACTCCGGACCGCCACTGCGGCGACCTGGGCTTTCCAGGCCTCTCGGTTCCCCCGAGCGGGGCTGGAGAGGAAGGTGACGCCGCGGGTGCCTCGGACACCCCGCTCCCCGAAGGCTCCGAGAAGCGCGCGGCCGGACGAGGACGTGAGGATGCCCCTGGGGCAGAGCGCCGTACCAGTGTGCGGCCTGCGGCGGCCTGGCGAGGGCGCCCCAGGCCGGGCCCGGGGCGGGGATGGGGCGCAGCGCAGGCCGAGCGCGCTCAGCTGGGGCGGGCGCGCCGGGGAGCGGAAGGCAGCGACCAACCTGTTGAACCCGAGTTGACAAGTTGTCAGGCGCAGCGAGCGGGAGATGCCTTGAATTAATGTGTTTGTTTAAACTGTCGGTGGTAATTGTCGCATCTCCCTGCCCTCCTCCCGCACTCTCGAGACGGGCTCGCCCTCCTGCCGCCCCACCCCCCCCAGCGTCTCCCAGGCTCCGGCCCTTTTCTCCTGGGGCCCTCGGAGGCCCGACAGCCTCCCGCGGGCAGGGGCGGAGGTGGGGAGCCGCGCCCGCGAGCCTGGCCGTGCGCCACGCCGTCTCCCCGAGGTTGCGGACGAGGAAACCTCGCTACTTCGCCCTGCGGCCTCCCCCGGTGGGGAGGAGCCCCGAACCGACGGCGAACACCTCGCCTGGCGGGAGGCCCGGCCGATCCGCCACACTGCGGGCAGGCTCTCCGCCGGGACTTGGGAGGCCCCACCGCCCTCCCCCCTGCCCTTCCTCTCCCGCCCTCTCCCCACCTCCCGGGTGGCCCTGCCGGCCCGGCAGCGGCCCAGGCTCCGACCCGGCTCGCCGTCTGTCTCCCCTGCAGCTGTGCAGCACGAGCGCGGGCCGCGGACGTCCACCATCCGCAAGCAGGTGGCCCTCTACTTCCGCGGCCACAAGGAGGAGAACGGGGCGGCCGCGCACTTCCCCTCGGCCGCGCTGCCCGCGCCCGCCTTCTTCACGGCGGTCACGCAGCTGGAGCCCCACGGCCTGGAGCTGGCCGCCGTGTCCGCCACCCCCGAGCGGCAGACGCTCGTGAGCCTGGCCCAGCCCACGCCCAAGGTCAGTGGCCCTGCTGGGCCCGAGGAGCCTCGTGCGGAGCGGAGGAGAGCGGGGAAGCCCATGTCCTGTGATCTGGGACGGGGTCAGGAAAGGGGGAGAGGCCGCAGGAGGCTCACACGTTAGCGGACCGTGAGGTCCTGCTCTGACCTGCTACAAATGCGGACGCGAACCCGTCCCCCGGAGCCCCTTTCTGCAAGTGTGAAGTGGAGCCTGGGGACCCGCACCTCTAAGGCACGGCCCGAGGCTGGGGCCCTGACTGGACTGAGAGGGCGGCCTGCGCGTCCCAGGCGGCCAGGAGAGCGGAGGTTGGCGTCCAGGAGAAAGGACTTGGCGGCCCGGGGCCAGAGGAGCTCCTGCGGTGGAAATCTCAGGATCTCTTGGGCCAAGTTATGGCCTCCCTGTAAGGCGGAGACTCCAGACATGTAGAACCCACCCTTAGGACAGTTTGAGGAACACGGCTTCGTTTTTCCACTCTCCCCGCACCCTCTTTGGAGATGCCAGGGTTTACACCAGGACTGAGCCTCTACTAGCCTGAAGCAGCTCAAAGGCTGCCCCCTAGGGACTAGCCTCAGGCCCCCAGCTGGTGCTTTCCCAGAGCCCCCACTCCGGGCACAGAGGCCTCCGGGTCTCCCCAAAGGAGGCCAGCTGCAGCCCCACGCTGCAGGGAAGCCAAACACCTGGGCACGCGCACACGCACAATATTTAATATTGCTTTCTTACCCTTGATGTGTATAATAAGCTTGAGAAAGTAGTGTTATGAATATGTTGTCAGTTATGAATGGGAATGCTCTGTGAATGATTAAGATGTCTAATTGAAATATTTCCATAATATACTAATCCTTTCTAAAAATACTCATATGCATATTTGTGTTTGGGATGCCTATTAATTTATACTTTTTTCACATCTATTTTTATTTACACAAATGCAAGCAGCTCTTGTCTAAATTGGGAGACAGGCCTGGCACTTGGCTCAGCCTGAGGAAAATTTGCAGCAAGGGATGAAAAAGCCAGATGCCCCTCTGGAAGAGCAGGTCCCCAAAGAGTGGGAATGGGCCTCTCCCTACAATTAGTTTTTCCCAAACTATAAATATAGGTGTTTGTTTTTTATGCACCTACAGCAACTGCATGTTTAAGCGGGACATCCAAATTCCTATCTCCTTCCCTGTTCTAATTAGAAAATTTAGTTTGGCTTCTCTTGAAAAGCTGTGGTTTCCTCACACCCTGGTGTTTCTCTTTCTTCCCCACCCAGTACCCCCATGAAGTGAATGGGACCCCAATGTATCTCTATGAAGTGGCCACAGAGTCAGTGTGTGAATCAGCTGCCAGGCTTCTGTTCATGAGCATCAAGTGGGCCAAGAGTGTCCCAGCTTTCTCCACACTATCTTTGCAAGACCAGGTATGACCAAAAGGGAAATGAGGTCTTGGGGGAAAGGGGTTGGGAAAATAGCCTGCAAAACTGGAAGTTACCTGGATAAATCACCAAGGCCAGGCATCTGTCCTCAAAGCAGTGAGAAAACCATTTTTACTGGCTTCTTGCTCTGGGTTCAAAATATTTAGCTATGGGATCCTTACTAAGAAATGTGATTATGTTCTTTCAGGAAAACTGGATCCAGACTATGAAAAAGAAATATACAAGAACATTATCTCTGTTTTTTTAGTTTAATTGAAACAAATTTCATCACAAATTCTAAAAATTGTAATGATTTTTTAAATTGTTACTAAAACAATGATTTCTTAAAAACATTGGAACTGAGGGCAACAGAAGGTAATGATAGCATTTCCCCTGTAAGATTTTGGGAACTCATCATGTTATTTTATATTCACAGCTTTATGTTTTCTACTGTTAGACTCATGGTTTGGGCCCATTTTACCAACATGTAGGATTAAAGGGTGCATTGCATACCTCCTGCAGCTTAGGATGTCTCTTGATTCTTAAGTTTTTTGAGAAATCTTGTAGACAAATAGGCATCATGCATAATCCTGTGGTTGCAAATGATACTCAGAAGGAGAAAAAGCATATGCCACTAAAAATTGCATTGTACCAAAACCCTCAAATTTTGTTGCTGGGTGTATCAGAAATGGCCTCTGCCAGAATTTTTCTAACTTAAGGGGAAGAAAGAAAATGAAGCGCTCATCACCACTGGCTGTCACCAGTGCATTTATGCAACTTAATAACAAATTTCCCAAAAAGCTAAGAAGTAGTTTTACAACAAAAGTTTTGTTCCTTTAATTCATTTTATACCTAATTAAAGCATAATAGTGCCCTTTCATAGGAAGCATGTCTCCGCACAGGGGCCTGGCAATGTGCTCAAAACATTTCATCTTCCATCAGGGGCTGTTCAGTTTTTCATGCCTGGACTTTCACACATGGCGAGAATTAGATACCGTGTACCCTGCATTTTTAAAGTATTATATTCTGTACTTATGCAACAAAACTAAAAATAAAGCATTTTGAAAATGAAACCTTTTGGTCTAATTGTGATTTGGGTTATAAGCCTTCACAGTTCAGCTCTTAGCTCCAAAAAAGGAAATCTTTTCATAAATCACCCAGAATTGATTGGGTTTTGAGTGATTTTTCAAGATGGTTAGGTTTTATCTTTGATCGAGTTTACTGGTTACCTCTATTTGTAGTGTGTGTGTGTGTGTGTGTGTGTGTGTGTAGGTCCTGAAAAGTCGCTCCTGCTCCACCACCACGCCCGGGGACAGGGCCCCTCGTGAGCTTCTCCAACACCGCCGAGTCTGGCAAACTTGGCGCTCTGACCCTTCACCTGCATGGAAAAGGGCTCTTCCCTCCTGACCGCTTGCCCAGGGTTGGGGCTGGGCCTCCTGACAGCCTGGGAATCCCAGTCCTTTCTCTACCTGGCCCAGCTCGTGCCCAAGGCCCTCGAGTTTCACGCACCCACACCCGCCGCTCCACGATGGGTGGCGGGGTCGGTTCCCACCTCCACGCCTGTCCCTGCCGCGCCGGCCTCGCGTCCACAGGCTACAGGCCCTGGGGGCCGCTGACCGCCTGCACTCTGTTTCAGGGAGGCTGCCCGGTGGACAAGACGCACAGAAACCAGTGCAGGGCGTGTCGGCTGAAGAAGTGTTTGGAAGTCAACATGAACAAAGATGGTAATCAGCACATGTTTTTATTCTTCTAATGTTGGTTGAGTAGTAAGTAAATTATATGTACAGAAAATACACCGCACTCCTATGCATGTAAATCGTCTCCGAGTACATAAATCCCTTGCAGATGCTGGGAACTGGCCTAGGGCTTCCAGTCCATCCTCCCCGTCTCTCCGCGCGAGCCCACCCCACGGACCCCTTAGGGCCAGGCCGTGCCCACAGCCGCCCCGCGAAGGCAGCGTTCCCGGGGACCCTCTCCGCGGGGGACGCACAGGCGGTGTGTCCTGCTTGCAGCGCGGATTTCTCTCCTCGCCCCTCCCTGCAGCCTTTTCGTGCCCCTTCTGAGCCTGTTAGCCCCGCGGGGTCGCGCAGGCGGATAGGTGCCCGGGGCCGGGGTGGCGCGGACTAGGACACACTGAGTTGGGAGGGAGGGCAGAGACCTGGAATTTCGAACCCTTGTTTGCAAATGCACCACGATTCCAAACTCCGGACCGCCACTGCGGCGACCTGGGCTTTCCAGGCCTCTCGGTTCCCCCGAGCGGGGCTGGAGAGGAAGGTGACGCCGCGGGTGCCTCGGACACCCCGCTCCCCGAAGGCTCCGAGAAGCGCGCGGCCGGACGAGGACGTGAGGATGCCCCTGGGGCAGAGCGCCGTACCAGTGTGCGGCCTGCGGCGGCCTGGCGAGGGCGCCCCAGGCCGGGCCCGGGGCGGGGATGGGGCGCAGCGCAGGCCGAGCGCGCTCAGCTGGGGCGGGCGCGCCGGGGAGCGGAAGGCAGCGACCAACCTGTTGAACCCGAGTTGACAAGTTGTCAGGCGCAGCGAGCGGGAGATGCCTTGAATTAATGTGTTTGTTTAAACTGTCGGTGGTAATTGTCGCATCTCCCTGCCCTCCTCCCGCACTCTCGAGACGGGCTCGCCCTCCTGCCGCCCCACCCCCCCCAGCGTCTCCCAGGCTCCGGCCCTTTTCTCCTGGGGCCCTCGGAGGCCCGACAGCCTCCCGCGGGCAGGGGCGGAGGTGGGGAGCCGCGCCCGCGAGCCTGGCCGTGCGCCACGCCGTCTCCCCGAGGTTGCGGACGAGGAAACCTCGCTACTTCGCCCTGCGGCCTCCCCCGGTGGGGAGGAGCCCCGAACCGACGGCGAACACCTCGCCTGGCGGGAGGCCCGGCCGATCCGCCACACTGCGGGCAGGCTCTCCGCCGGGACTTGGGAGGCCCCACCGCCCTCCCCCCTGCCCTTCCTCTCCCGCCCTCTCCCCACCTCCCGGGTGGCCCTGCCGGCCCGGCAGCGGCCCAGGCTCCGACCCGGCTCGCCGTCTGTCTCCCCTGCAGCTGTGCAGCACGAGCGCGGGCCGCGGACGTCCACCATCCGCAAGCAGGTGGCCCTCTACTTCCGCGGCCACAAGGAGGAGAACGGGGCGGCCGCGCACTTCCCCTCGGCCGCGCTGCCCGCGCCCGCCTTCTTCACGGCGGTCACGCAGCTGGAGCCCCACGGCCTGGAGCTGGCCGCCGTGTCCGCCACCCCCGAGCGGCAGACGCTCGTGAGCCTGGCCCAGCCCACGCCCAAGGTCAGTGGCCCTGCTGGGCCCGAGGAGCCTCGTGCGGAGCGGAGGAGAGCGGGGAAGCCCATGTCCTGTGATCTGGGACGGGGTCAGGAAAGGGGGAGAGGCCGCAGGAGGCTCACACGTTAGCGGACCGTGAGGTCCTGCTCTGACCTGCTACAAATGCGGACGCGAACCCGTCCCCCGGAGCCCCTTTCTGCAAGTGTGAAGTGGAGCCTGGGGACCCGCACCTCTAAGGCACGGCCCGAGGCTGGGGCCCTGACTGGACTGAGAGGGCGGCCTGCGCGTCCCAGGCGGCCAGGAGAGCGGAGGTTGGCGTCCAGGAGAAAGGACTTGGCGGCCCGGGGCCAGAGGAGCTCCTGCGGTGGAAATCTCAGGATCTCTTGGGCCAAGTTATGGCCTCCCTGTAAGGCGGAGACTCCAGACATGTAGAACCCACCCTTAGGACAGTTTGAGGAACACGGCTTCGTTTTTCCACTCTCCCCGCACCCTCTTTGGAGATGCCAGGGTTTACACCAGGACTGAGCCTCTACTAGCCTGAAGCAGCTCAAAGGCTGCCCCCTAGGGACTAGCCTCAGGCCCCCAGCTGGTGCTTTCCCAGAGCCCCCACTCCGGGCACAGAGGCCTCCGGGTCTCCCCAAAGGAGGCCAGCTGCAGCCCCACGCTGCAGGGAAGCCAAACACCTGGGCACGCGCACACGCACAATATTTAATATTGCTTTCTTACCCTTGATGTGTATAATAAGCTTGAGAAAGTAGTGTTATGAATATGTTGTCAGTTATGAATGGGAATGCTCTGTGAATGATTAAGATGTCTAATTGAAATATTTCCATAATATACTAATCCTTTCTAAAAATACTCATATGCATATTTGTGTTTGGGATGCCTATTAATTTATACTTTTTTCACATCTATTTTTATTTACACAAATGCAAGCAGCTCTTGTCTAAATTGGGAGACAGGCCTGGCACTTGGCTCAGCCTGAGGAAAATTTGCAGCAAGGGATGAAAAAGCCAGATGCCCCTCTGGAAGAGCAGGTCCCCAAAGAGTGGGAATGGGCCTCTCCCTACAATTAGTTTTTCCCAAACTATAAATATAGGTGTTTGTTTTTTATGCACCTACAGCAACTGCATGTTTAAGCGGGACATCCAAATTCCTATCTCCTTCCCTGTTCTAATTAGAAAATTTAGTTTGGCTTCTCTTGAAAAGCTGTGGTTTCCTCACACCCTGGTGTTTCTCTTTCTTCCCCACCCAGTACCCCCATGAAGTGAATGGGACCCCAATGTATCTCTATGAAGTGGCCACAGAGTCAGTGTGTGAATCAGCTGCCAGGCTTCTGTTCATGAGCATCAAGTGGGCCAAGAGTGTCCCAGCTTTCTCCACACTATCTTTGCAAGACCAGGTATGACCAAAAGGGAAATGAGGTCTTGGGGGAAAGGGGTTGGGAAAATAGCCTGCAAAACTGGAAGTTACCTGGATAAATCACCAAGGCCAGGCATCTGTCCTCAAAGCAGTGAGAAAACCATTTTTACTGGCTTCTTGCTCTGGGTTCAAAATATTTAGCTATGGGATCCTTACTAAGAAATGTGATTATGTTCTTTCAGGAAAACTGGATCCAGACTATGAAAAAGAAATATACAAGAACATTATCTCTGTTTTTTTAGTTTAATTGAAACAAATTTCATCACAAATTCTAAAAATTGTAATGATTTTTTAAATTGTTACTAAAACAATGATTTCTTAAAAACATTGGAACTGAGGGCAACAGAAGGTAATGATAGCATTTCCCCTGTAAGATTTTGGGAACTCATCATGTTATTTTATATTCACAGCTTTATGTTTTCTACTGTTAGACTCATGGTTTGGGCCCATTTTACCAACATGTAGGATTAAAGGGTGCATTGCATACCTCCTGCAGCTTAGGATGTCTCTTGATTCTTAAGTTTTTTGAGAAATCTTGTAGACAAATAGGCATCATGCATAATCCTGTGGTTGCAAATGATACTCAGAAGGAGAAAAAGCATATGCCACTAAAAATTGCATTGTACCAAAACCCTCAAATTTTGTTGCTGGGTGTATCAGAAATGGCCTCTGCCAGAATTTTTCTAACTTAAGGGGAAGAAAGAAAATGAAGCGCTCATCACCACTGGCTGTCACCAGTGCATTTATGCAACTTAATAACAAATTTCCCAAAAAGCTAAGAAGTAGTTTTACAACAAAAGTTTTGTTCCTTTAATTCATTTTATACCTAATTAAAGCATAATAGTGCCCTTTCATAGGAAGCATGTCTCCGCACAGGGGCCTGGCAATGTGCTCAAAACATTTCATCTTCCATCAGGGGCTGTTCAGTTTTTCATGCCTGGACTTTCACACATGGCGAGAATTAGATACCGTGTACCCTGCATTTTTAAAGTATTATATTCTGTACTTATGCAACAAAACTAAAAATAAAGCATTTTGAAAATGAAACCTTTTGGTCTAATTGTGATTTGGGTTATAAGCCTTCACAGTTCAGCTCTTAGCTCCAAAAAAGGAAATCTTTTCATAAATCACCCAGAATTGATTGGGTTTTGAGTGATTTTTCAAGATGGTTAGGTTTTATCTTTGATCGAGTTTACTGGTTACCTCTATTTGTAGTGTGTGTGTGTGTGTGTGTGTGTGTGTGTCTATGTGTGTATAAACTGGCTGTTTTTTCTCAAAACAAGTATTTGTAGACTCTTTAATCCAAACAAAATTTACTTACTGTCTGCCACTCAGCCCTATGGTGGAGACCCTTCGCCAACAAGCAGACAGCAGCGAAGTGGAATCCAGTATATTAATGTGGAAAAGGAGCCAGATTCTCATTTTAAATATTCAGTAGCACATTTTATTAGAATGAAAATGACAGGCACCTTGACGCTGTCCACTTATGAGTCTCAGAAAAATCAGGCAGTGAGATGAGGTAAACTCAGCAAAACCCGATTAACATAATTACACCCTGATTTGCCTGCATGCCTCTTGGGAATTAGTGATCTCTTTCCTAGCCCAGCCCCCTCAGCCCTCCGGGAAGAAGGGGGCCCAGATTTGCATGCTTAGTCTAGAATCTTCAACCTGGCTAATAGCAGCATTTTACATGGGAGGAATCAGCCTGCCAAGGCTGGTGGCATTTCACAGAGCCTGGGTCTCTGAAGAAGTTTCTAGATGGTCAGGAAAGGACGGCTGCAGGGACAGGAAGGGCAAACCCTTTTCCAAGGAAAGTCAAGTTTGGGGAATTGGCATGGTTGGCTCTCAAATGCATGGGCTTATCTATAGGCACCTTTACAAAAAGGAAAATATGGAAAATGAGGGAAAGCTAGGATATTCAGAAGAAAAATTACCAAGGCAGGCATTTAAAACACTTTTTTAAATAATGGAAATTGACATACTGGAATTGTCTATAAATTTATAAATGACACACTGTATTATATTTCACGTCTATTGTATGACAGCTGATGCTTTTGGAAGACGCTTGGAGAGAACTGTTTGTTCTAGGAATAGCACAATGGGCCATTCCGGTTGATGCTAACACTCTACTGGCTGTATCTGGTAAGAATTGCACAATTTAATGACTTTGTTGTAGAAATTACCATAAAAATACATTACTGAAAAAAGAACAACATGTAAAGAATATCAAATCCCTGCTGAACAATAGAGTCTACCTGTCATTTATAAATCTATATTTAAATGCAAATAATGTTGTTTTGTTGTATTCATGACTGCTCGCATTGTTATTTAAATGCAAATTACTGTGTTTGTTATCATCCAAGAGAAGATTTTATATGAACTTTCATACAATATAGCCAGTTTACATGGAACCAGATATCTTAGAGTGACAATTGAATAGATATTGATATGCAGGATTTTGTCAAAAATCAATATTAAATCATGAAAATGCCTTCATACCAGAGCATTTACTCCATATTTTCATTCTAGGCATGAATGGTGACAACACAGATTCCCAGAAGCTGAACAAGATCATATCCGAAATACAAGCTTTACAAGAGGTGGTGGCTCGGTTCAGACAGCTCCGGTTGGACGCCACGGAATTTGCCTGTCTGAAGTGTATTGTCACGTTCAAAGCTGGTAAGTAGACCCAAACCCCGGTCTCTCTTCCCTCCCCAGTTTTGCCACCTCACTGATTCAGCCACCTCCAAGTGCAGACTGGCCTTGCGAGAAGAGGGGACGGTGTGCAGGGGAGCCGATCCTGTCTGGCTGGCCCCACTCCCCATAGCTGCAGGGACCTGCGTGCTCCCCCGCAGACACCCACTTCGGGAGAGGGGCTGTCCCCACCTGCCTAGGTTCTGCTGCTCACCAGGCTCCTGGCCTTCATTTCTAGTGCCCACACACAGTGGCTCTGAACTGCGGAGCTTCCGGAACGCTGCCGCCATCGCAGCCCTCCAGGATGAGGCCCAGCTGACTCTCAACAGCTACATCCATACCAGGTGACTTGTTTGCCTTGGGCTCCAGAAAACCACTCCCGTTGTGAGTAGGCGAGCAGGCAGAAGCCGCCAGTTCCAACACTGGGACTCATGCTGTTGCCAGATCAGTTAGAATCTACGTCCTCATCTATGTTCTCACCTACGTCGCAGGGTGGGTGAGAGGAACACACCCGACTAGACCATCCAAGTGGAGGTACTGCCGGACCCCTTTGGGCTGTCCTGCTTGGACAAGCTGATCCATCAAAATAGTTGGGCACCTCTGTGTGAATGGAGCCAGAGGCGGGAAAGGTAAAAACGAAGGCTAGAGTGCTGTTAGTTAGTGTGCTAGAGAGTGACCACAGCCTCCTTTTAAAGAGGCAAGCACCTTTCTTTGGAGGAAATTGGCATATGATTTGGATGAAGTTGACCAATCCCAAAAGGAAGGACCAGAGAACTCTCTAGAGAGGCCGTCTTTAACCACGTCATGAGCCCCTGCTTGGCTGCAGTGACTGCTGCCTCTGGAGTTGTTCTGAGCACAGCGCCAGGTCGCCCCCAGCTGCGCAGGGCCCCCGGCAGAGGCTGTTCTGTCTACTGTAGACTCTGGCAGCCACTACCGACCACCAAGAGGCAGAGACTTTCTGATCCTGTTTTCAAGTGAAAAAAGTGAGCCTTTTGAAGAGCAGTGGCTTCTTGCTCTCTTAGGACCGAGGTGGGTCTGAGGTCAGCGTAGAGCCGCTATTCGTGTTTACTCTCTAGACTGACCCTGAAGGGAAGACCCTGGAGGCCTGTCCATATCCTCTCAGCCCCACCCCCCAACCGAGCACTGCGCTGGGAGTCACTGCCCCAATGGGCAGAGGCAGTTAGTGCCCCTCACCTCAGGGGCTCAGAGAAACCCCGAGCCGGCCCTGCTCAGTTGGGCTGATACCACTTCCGGTGGGACTGCCTTTTATTTCTATTATAAATCCTCTTCTAACTGCTCATGGATGGAACTCGCTGCTGCCCGTGAGCTGCCCCTCGGACCATGTGGAAGTGCACCTGCATATGCTTTTCCAAACTAAAGTGCCATGGGTTTTAAAGGTAGAATCACTGTTAAATTTCAGAATGTAGAGAGTAAGCATTTAGTATTTGTTTGGAATTATAAATGGAGCAGTACATAATTTGGGCACTACCCCCAGCTGAGAATGTACTTGTATATCGTAACTGACCTCTGACATTTAGAGTCACTAGGGCATAAAGAACATCACAGTGAGAAGAAAACGATGCCCATGTATGGGTTTGTCCAAGCCTTTGCTCTGTGCACAGCCCCTGGCAGGCATCATGGACATGAGAAAGAACAGGGCACTGCTCGCCTCATTGCACGACGCAGGCGGAGTGTCACTGCAGTTCTGCCTCCCACCACACCGCCTGGGTGACTCTGCAGACATGGCAGGGGCTTGTCCAGGCAGCCACCACCGCCCCTGCTTCAGGGTGTTCGCCTTCTGCCTGGTCCTGGGGAGGGAGGCCGCTGCGGAAGGGGGTACATGGCTGAGGTGAAAGGGGGGCACAGGTCTTGGCTGCACTTCCCAGGAAACGCAGGTGACGCCTTCAGCAAGGAGAGCAAGTGGTGGGGTTAGTTATTTTTACTTACTTAAAAAATGTAGATAAGCCCCCGTTTCTGTACGACACTATTAAACATGGTCAGCTGGTCCCTGCCCATGCGTGGCCATGAAGCTGGGCAGTGAAGCAGGCCCATGAGGTCCTCAGAGGCCCAGCACTCAGCTTGAAGAGGGAGGTGTGCTTTCTTGTGCCCAAAGCCAAGAGACAGGCATGGAGATTACCCCCGGGGCCCTGTTTGCAGAGGCGGGTTCCTGGGCTGTCAGGGTCCGTCCGCCTACCTAACTCCTGTGAAGGAATTGTGGTATCTCGGCTTCTCGCGCCTATGGCCAAGGGTTGAATGTGGCCCAGCTACAGGTGAGTGCCCCCAGAGCCCAGCCTTTCAGGTGGCTTGTGGTAGCGGAGGGAGCCCTCCGACCAGCACCTGACTCCCAGCTAGGATGGCGGCAGCATCAGGGCCGCGGTGAGGAGTGGCTTGCAGGCATCTCAAGGCAGCAGCAAATTGAACTTGCACATCTGAGCACGATGTGTGTTGGACATCAAGAGAAGAATCTGTTCGGCAATTTCTCACATCTTTAATTATATGCCAATTTCATTGACGTGAAAGTTGGGTGGCACTGCCACCCGACAGAACGCAGTCTTTAATTTGCAGTGTAATAAGGACAGAATTATTCCTGAGAGTGACTAAGTATAATGCCTGAATAATAATGTGGAGAATTGCTTAGAAAAGGAATCCATTTTCTTTGAGGGAAAACAGCCTGGCGAAGGAGCCTTGAGCATCAGAAAACGTGGCTGTTGACAGCTAGCTTGGTCATCAATACCGTGGGTGTCTTCTGCACTGGCTGCCGCCCTGCACTCATTACTTGACCTAAACTCAGTACCGTGTTTCTTAAAATTATTTTTTCTCCAAATAAAATACGGCCCCTCGGCCAGTGTAGGGACACTCACCATGTGACTCCACAGCATCATTTATAGTCTCCGTGCCTTGATGGTCGTTCCGGGAAGCAGGGAGAGGAGGGCCTGCGAGGACCCACCCAGGTCTCCGCTGCAGGGCCAGTACCTGAGCACAGAGGCCCAGCCTGGACGTGCACAGATGGCGTGTGGTCGCGGGGAGGTGTCGGCTCCTGTTAGCGGTGGCTCTTACCTTGCTGTCCCGGCTTCTCCTGTTCCAGATACCCCACTCAGCCCTGTCGTTTTGGAAAACTCCTGTTGCTTCTGCCAGCTTTACGTTCTATCGGTCCATCAACCATAGAAGAAGTGTTCTTCAAAAAGACCATCGGCAACGTGCCAATCACAAGACTGCTTTCAGACATGTACAAATCCAGTGACATCTAAGCTCTCGGAGTCCCCGCTTCTCAGGATGGGACAGTTTCTGATGAACTTCTAGCCACAGAGAACAAGCCTCAACTAATGAACCCTTCAGGAAGCATACACCTGGGTATGTGTAGCCTTCGGAAAAAAATGTCCGTTGACATAAAGCAGTTGCAGTCACTTTGACCTGCTGCTTCTCTCCGGGGAGGGCAGCACGCAAGGCCGGCCTGGGCAGAGAGAATCACTGCCGCCAGGCCCTGGGAGGAGGGCCTGGTCGGGGGGCCGGTCCGCCCCTCACCTGGAAGATTGGACTGAACTATCACAAGCTGAAACATAAGCAGGACCTTCTTTTCTTTCTTAGCACATAAAGTTGGGTAACCAAATAGAGCTCTGTGTATAACATCGTTCAGCAGCCCTCAGGACTACCTTGTGTTGGAGAATTTATTTTAAAAATAACGGTTAGGACTTAAATCGAAAGTTTTATCAAAAGTTTCCCTCTATTGTAATGCATCATGAAGTGGCCTTCAGAACTGAGTTAATAAGTGAAAGGTGGCTTATGCCATGACATTGGCTTTTTCTCTACTTTCTTTCCTTTTTCTACCTTTTGCCTTGCCCCTCTTTTTTTTCTTCATTTTTTAAATACCATAGGCCAGGCAACCTTGTCAAAGGATTTGGTGGACGAAAATGAGATTCTCACCGGGACGTCAGGTTGGATAACATCTTAAAAAGAGAAGAGCTTTACTGAGCCGACACAGTGGAGGGAGGATGAACAAAAACAGCAAAACCAAATAAAGTGCAGATGAGTGGCTGAGTGAGGCAGACGGCTGTCCTGTTAGCGTAGTGCGAAACTGAAGGCAAGGGGGGTCCAAACTCGTGCTTCAAGTCACCCCAGGGAGTCAGGGAACAGGTGCAGGACTCCAGGAGGAACCCCCAGGAGACGAATGCTCAGAGGTTTCTTGACTGATCCATTGCCAACAGCCTGAGACCCTTCCATGCCTTTCGGAAAACCGGTTTCTGGTAAAGCCTGCAATGCGTGCACGTGCACGTCGTCCTACACCCTAAGCTGCTCCTTTGGTATGAATCTATATTTACGGGAATGTAGAGACAAACGTTTTAAAATAGCTGCTGTACTCTTCCCATGTTGATCTATTAGGTACTAGCACTGAGGAAAAATATTCAGCACGCGGACTACCATAGGGTGAGTAAAACTTTACTTGTACAAAGTGAATTAACTGATTTGTGAAGTTAAAAGGTTGTACTCATTGTATTTACAAAAAATAAAAATATATTGAATTTAAATGAACTCAGCCTGATTTCTTAGCCTCCCTCCCTGGCCAGGTCTCACCCCCGAGAAACAGGGCGGCGGCGGCAGCGGGGTGCCAACTGGAGCTCTGAGCACCCCGGCCCGGAGAGCGGGACCACGAAGGCAATCTCCTTTTTACGGTGAATCCCATTTGTAAAATGATGAATAAAGAAATAAAACATAAGATTCCGTTCTCTGCAGCTCTCAAGTGTAATTGCATCTGTTAGAAAAATTGCTGTGTGAGGAAGAAAGAGGCCGATTAAGAGCCTTCATTCACTCGCTCCTCTGTTTCTCTCTCCAACATTTCAACCCTGACCAGGAACTTGAAATCATTTAATGATCAAGAAGGTGAAGCGTGAAGGGACACGCTGGCGGGCGAGATGAGGGGGAGAGTAGGGTGCATTCAGATGTCCCCGCAGAGGGCAGGGCACTCCCCCACGGCTGGAGGTAAAACCAGAGGTGCCCAAGGCTGTGGGCACCGCGGGCTCCTCCTGGGCAGTAGCTCCAGCAAGTCTGGGGCAGAGGTACCAACAGCACTCAGCTGAACTGACCCTACAGATGGCATGTGAGGATGTTCGATCAGCCGTGCACCCCTGGTCTTAAAGAACAGCAAGGTACTGGACAACGTATGCAAGGACGCTCCTTGCAACACTGTTCATATGTGACAGTCGAAACGTCCACCCACAGAGAATGGCTGCCTCATGGAGCGTACAGTGTTACCGTAGCTGACGTGAATGGGCTAGAGCCAGTGCACCCCCACCATGGGTGGACCCGGGGTAGAGTGTTGGGGCGGGTGGGAAGTGAACCACAGAGGATACTTACAGCTTGGTATTTATATCAAGCTCTGCAACCTACAGAACAATACTGGATCATGTTTATAGATACACACATGTAGAGCAGATGTTTAAAACAAACACTAACTGCATGATCTGGTTACTTTTGGGAATGGATGGGATTGCTGAAGGGCACCAAGGGGACCCTCAAGGGTTTCTGAAATGTCTGTTTCATAAGACAAAGAAAACTCAGAAATATGAGACCAATGACAAGATTTGGTAAAGCTGAGCAATGTTTCCAGGGCTGTTCATCCATGTATTAGTCCCGTTTTGCTTCAGTAATGCTGAATAACAAAGAACCCCAAAGCTTGCAAAATCTTGTACTTCTCAATGGGACTGCCAGTCCCCGAGGGCCAGCTGGCCGGGCTCTAGGCTGCTGTTGGGGTTCAGGTGTGCTCCAGTATCTCCTCATTTTGGACTCGCAGCTCCCCTAAAGCAATTTATTTGTGTGACAGAGCACAGAGTGCGAGAAGCCGAGCCAACCCACGCGAACGCATTGAAAGCCGCTGCCCCCGTCACATTTGTTCACTTTCCACTGGCCAAAGCCAGACATGTGGCCAGACCCAACCTCAAGGTGGCAGGAGGTGCTACTCCTTTCGTGGGGTGGGGGGTAGGGGAAGATAGGGACTCTTAATAATTTTGGAACCATCTACTTTAATCTATCTTACATATTCTCAGTAAAATTAAAAGGGAGTTAAGTTTCCTGTGACATGCCACAGAATGACTTCCCTTTGTTGGGGGCACCTCTGCCACACAGACGAGAGTCACGTCTAGCTTTCAACATGTGAAAAGCCAGAATTAAAAACCCAGTCTTCTGGAGTTTTGGGATCTCTGCTGGATGCAGTCTGGGTACCTTCAGACCCTCGCTGCTTGCATGGATTTTAAGGCAGAAGTCCTCCATGGCTGGCGTTGTGCGGGAGGGGCCAGAGGTCTTTGAGTACACACATTCAAGTCACAGGGTTCCAGTAGGTGCGATCTGAACATACAGACAAGGGAAGAGAACCCGGTCAAGTGATCACTGCAGTAAAAACCGGTCATCAAAGGATTCTGACGAATGGTTTTCCTGAATCTGGGAGGGTCACTTTTCAAAAGTGTTGCCTGCATTCTGTGACATGGCACGGAGTCTTACGTTTGTGTTTGCATTACTTTGTTGCTCTTTAATGCTACGGAAGAGAAGGAAGGGAGGTGGGTGGGTGGGGTGGGAGGGTTCAGGAACTGAATCGAGGCTCCCGAATTATTCCACTTAACAGTTCAAGGTTCTTCGTCCATCAGGAGCCTAAGAACCAGAGACCTGCCCTGTGGGTGCTGTCCTTGGCCATGGGTATAAAGATAGAAACCCTCCACTTCTCCGCACGGTGTTTGTGTGCATGGCTGTCCCCTCTGGTGGCACACACGGCCCACTTCACTCCTTTAAACATCTGTCCAGCATTCCATTTTACGGATGGGCTACAGTGTATCCAGCTAGTTCCTTACTGGTGGACTTGGGTTGCTTGCAGTTTTCCACTATAATAAACCAAACTGGAAAGGCCCACCCTTCTGTGTGCACTGCTGGGGACTCAGGGATCTTTCTTAGGATAAATTCTTAGAAGTGGCATTTCTGGGCCAAAGATTGTATGCATTTTTAATTTTGCTACATACAACCAAATGGCTCGGGGTTGTGTCAATTTGCACTCCTGCCCAGAGCATATGAGGGGGCCCATTTCACTGCTCGGAATTTAAGTGCTTAATCAGACCCGGGCTTGACGAACACTTCAGAAGTTAGAAAAATAGAGAGAAGGCCTCCGTTTCCATTGTGAACACGCCTCTGCCACCGTGCTCACCGGGCTGGTCCGGGCCCTGGCTTGCACCCACGGGGGGGCTTGGTTCCCGCACGTTTTCAGTCCAGGCCCTGCCGGCAAGCTTCCGGGAGGATCCGGAGGTCGTGACGAGGCCTCAGAGGAGGCGGTGAATGAGGAGACAGAGGCAGCTCGGCAGACCCTTTCTGCTGCCAAGATGTTGCTCTAAGAATCTCAGGCCGCTCATTCAACGATAACATTTTTTATAATCACTTGTGGAAACTGAAAGACAATAATTCTCTTTGATTAACTTCAGTTAACTTTGCCACAGATGACAAATGGTTTATTTTTTAGAAAGTCTGTATTTTAGATCATGTTTTTAGATTTTTTGAAGCTCATTTTGGATCATGAAGTAGTGTTTCCTCTGAATGTCGCTGACCTGCTCATGGACCCGTAAGGGGGGTCGTCGGAGTGCTCAGCGGCCGCCGAGCTGGGCCGGCCAGCAACGTGCAGAGGGCGGTCTCTCTGACGAAGAAACCGGGATGCAGCCAGAGCCTGGGCACCTTTCTGGCCTAGCAAAGTGTTGCAATGCTCTGCTGGGAAACTGAGTAGGGTCAGTGTATGGAGGAGGCCAAGGGTTGGTCCTGAGGGAAGCCAGGGAGCCTTCCTCTGTCAGTGGCCCTGGCATCTCTAATATCTGCTGGCGACTCTGTCCCAGACACTGCACAGGTGGCAGCAGAGGCCTCCACCAGGCTCCTCCACCGGGCAGGCTGGAGGACGGCTCCCAGCTGCTCCCACCAAGGGCATACAGGGCATCTCCGCTGCACAGGCCCGGCAACAGCCAAGTGGAAGGAGCAGGGGCCAGGATGGGGAGGCTGGGGGCTGGTTCTTCCCAGTTTCCCCGTGGGATGTCGGGCAAGTGTGTCAACCTCCGTGCACCACCAAGCCTTTGCACTGGGCTCGGGGCTGCTGAAATGTTCCCCCAGCTCTCAGCATTTGCATCACCTTCCAGTGGGAGCAGGTGCCTGCCTACCGGAGGGAATTCTCCTTGGCCAGAACCAGTCGGAGTAAGTGAGTTTCCAAGTGCGCTCAGCCTTGACTCGCACCCCCAAATCCTTTCATTTAGATGAGTCGTTCGTTCTGTCTTGGCTGAGGATCTCTGGTCCCCAGGTCCCCAAGATCTCTGGGCAAAGCCCAGACATCAGTATTTGGAGGCTCCCCATGCGAGAGAAGCACTGACGCCCGCCTCGGGCAGGCGCCCGGGATGGGGTTCGTGTTCAGGCTCTAGGATCGGGGCCTCTCACCCCTCATGCCTGGCCCCTCTCCCTCCCCTGACTGCTGACCTTTAAAGTTGATTCTTCGCCCCCTCCCTGCTCTGGCCTGTCATGGAACTCACCCCGCTGATTGTGGCGCTCATGATTGAGAACCTCTTCTGACCGCTTCCCTTTCCCCAGAAATTAATGTGATCATTAAGGCCTATAATTTCACTCACCAGTGCCATCGATCAAGGGGCTGCGAAACAGAGTTAAGAGTCCTTTTGTGATTGGCGGCGGCCTGTGATTGGGAGCACAGAATCCAGGAGCTGCGGGGAGCTGGAGGACGGGGCCTGGTGTGCAGGGAGGGGCTGCACCCCATCGGACTGACCTCCCAGGCTCTTCATGGCCTGCTCCTGGGGGTAACAGGCTCCTGGCTTCACCTGCCCTGAAGCTCGAAGTTCTCCATCTGCCCACCGCAAGCTGTCTGCAGCAGAAAGGAAGGTCTTCTGAATGCAGGGACAGGGAAGGCCAGCACACCCTTCATACACTGGGCAGCTCCAGGTTTGCCAGGACAGGGAGGGAGTCTGGATTGTCCATTCTTCGTCCATCAGGAGCCTAAGAACCAGAGACCTGCCCTGTGGGTGCTGTCCTTGGCCATGGGTATAAAGATAGAAACCCTCCACTTCTCCGCACGGTGTTTGTGTGCATGGCTGTCCCCTCTGGTGGCACACACGGCCCACTTCACTCCTTTAAACATCTGTCCAGCATTCCATTTTACGGATGGGCTACAGTGTATCCAGCTAGTTCCTTACTGGTGGACTTGGGTTGCTTGCAGTTTTCCACTATAATAAACCAAACTGGAAAGGCCCACCCTTCTGTGTGCACTGCTGGGGACTCAGGGATCTTTCTTAGGATAAATTCTTAGAAGTGGCATTTCTGGGCCAAAGATTGTATGCATTTTTAATTTTGCTACATACAACCAAATGGCTCGGGGTTGTGTCAATTTGCACTCCTGCCCAGAGCGTATGAGAGAAGGCCTCCGTTTCCATTGTGAACACGCCTCTGCCACCGTGCTCACCGGGC